CAGCTTAACAGGTGAATGCTTCCCTGTTGCTTTGTAGTGGTAGGGCGAGGAAGCCACTCGGCTGTTGTCCTTTTAATGGGGACCAAAGGACCACTTGTATACCCCCCCCCGGCCCAACACAGGGGGAGGGAGGCCACGTCTGGCTGCAGCGGGGCCTCAGTGTTTGGCCTTGTCACATTGGGCGCCAGCTGTGCCGTCCACAATGCCCTATCACAGTGTGTGAGCGCTAACATGCCAACCCCCCTGACCCAGCCTGATTAATGATGGTGGGACTGTGTCCCTCCGGAGATACGAAGGTTCTTCCTCCACTCATACACAGCTGGACTCTCTTTTCTTTCCATCCATCCATCCGTTATCTGCCTGTGTCTGAGATATCCAGGAGTTTCTATGTCAACCATTCAGACTGCCAGCAATCCATCAATGTTTTGGACATATGAATCATCCCTCCATCCATCCATCCATTCTCTGCTCTTCCCCTCCTTGTTCTCACTACTTCCTGTTTACCCGTCCTCTCGTCCTCGCATCATAATCGGTCTTTGATGTGTGCGAGTGGAGTTTAGAGAGCCGCTCTGGAATGGATGCAAACGGAGAGATCGAAAATAGATGGAGGCTTGTCGATGGAGGGAAAGAGCAGAGGGGAGAAGAGGAAGAGAGAATAAATCAGATGGATGATGTGGCAGATCTGGCATTTGTCATGACCAAGGGCAGCCTGGGAGACACCATCATCGACTTAACGATGTAAACAAAGTTATAATTCAAATAACCTCTCCTGCTCTCTCTCTCGCTCTCTCTCTCTCTCTGTCTGCATCTCTCTCCATCCTACTCAATTCATCTCCAGCTTTTCTTTTTTCTGTCTGTTCTCTCTTGTCTCTCCCTCCATCTACAGTTGGAAATGCATTTTCTTAAGAAAAGCTGAGAGTCTCAAAACAAAATTTGGGGCAGCAGCGCCGATGACTTATTAAAACTTTAAACTTGATTTTAGTGCGACACGTAGAATATCTGCCTTTTTCATTTTGTTAAGTTGACCCCCCCCACCCCCACCCTCCCCACCTCACCCCCCACCCCCACCCCAGCTACCCCTGTTTTCCCAAACAGAAATTAACAATCTGTTTAGAGGGTCTCCAACCGAGCTCGAGTCAGATTATCTGAAAGATTAGCTGCCGTCATACCCGACTCAAAGACGACTGGATTAAGTGGGCGGTAGTGGCGGCGATGGCTGGCGAGGAGGGCTGGGGTGTGTGTGTGTGTGGGGGGGGTGGATTTAGTTTGGTTGCTGTCTGTTGTTTTTGGCCCGTTCCTCTCCAGACCTCAGAGCGTAAATGTGATTATCGCTAACATGGTTTGAGTCTTTGCAGAAACACGAGTCATCGCAGCGAGAGCGGCTTTGATTTATTGCTTTTCTTTGGGAAAAACTGGTTATTTAATTCTCTCTCCTCGGCTCAGTGATGAGTGATTATGTCTCTCTAATTGAGGAATCACGGCGTGCGCGTTCATTACAGGTACATCACTTGATCTGTTTAAGTACGCATAATTACTGGTTAGTTCACATTTGTTCTCTGGAGGAGTTTGACTCTGAAAACAGGATCTTGCTCAGTTTTTGACTCCCACTGAAATGTTTGTACCTCTGATCAGGCAGCGACTGTGTTTAATGATTTGTTCATAAGTTTCATCGTTTGTCCAATTTGCAACCCACTTATCCAGTCGAGGCATGTGGGGGCTGTAGCCGTCCCAGAATGCACTGGGTTAGATACTGCGTATACCCCAGATAGACAGACAGGCAGTGTATCCAAATATATTTTGCACTGGTTTGAACCAACTTACTCCAGCTCATCATTACACTCAAACACGTCATTATCATCCTGCATGATTGAACTTGATTTGATCTTTTGACCCTGAAATCAGAGTCTTAGTCTTTGTGATCGAGTTTCTGCCTGTTTTCATCATCAGATGATGGAAACCATGTAGGCAGAGTCGACCTGTTGCTCACCTCCACAGAAGCCCGACCTGACCTCGCCACTCATCGCTATTTAACATAACGTTATGATATTGCAGTTATTATTGTTGTAATATGATATATAATATAATATATATATAATGTATATATAATGTAATATATATTTATATAAGTATAATAATTTCACATTATTATATAATATAAATATATATAAGTAATACATATACTGTCAAGTACAATAATATGATAATTGTGTCACAATATAATAGGTATTAGTTATATGTTTTATATAATATAATAATTGTAAATACATCATTATATTATAATAAAATAAATATATATGTCATATTACATAAAAATAGTAATTATAATATCCTAACGTTATGTTACAGGTAAAACACAGATACATATGATTACCCACCTCTAATATAAACATCATACATCATTAAACAGCCAGTCTTGTTTGTGATGTCATCTCCATGTCTGTCCATTCTTTCCCATATATCCTTCATGTGACACCTGTTTTTATGTTACAGTATCTCACCAATAAAGGAATTTAAAAAAAAAAAATGGAAATAGAAACTGTATCACTGTACAACTATAATAAAAGAAAAAGATGGACATCTCGTATCAGATGGACCAGCCCAGACAAACAGAACCACCAGTGATTACATTAACTGTTTACAACAAAGGCGTGGATATACCTTTCTACATTATTTGTCCAGTGTCGCTGCCTGCAGATGACCTGCAATGTTTCTGTTCCTTTAATAAAATGGAAATCAGCAAACAGTCTCAGCAGATATGGTAAAGCTCTATTTGTGGGGACAGTATGTGGGCTTGTGTGAAAGCATATTGCCTGCTGTGCTGACCTGAGGATCGGGTTATAAGTTGGTTATATCACTTCCCCCTGCAGCTTTCTTGGCTTGCCAAATGTCAGTCTGCCACAGTTTTATCCAGGAACAGTAGATTACTTTACAGGCTTTGGTCTTTTAAGTACGAGAACCAGACTCTTTAAAACCATAAAGCACCCAGGGGGATCCACCCAAACTCACAAAACACATAGGTCTCTACGTGCAGTGCACACACATATACAACAAAAAATAGTAAAGAAGAAAAACAAAAACAAATGGACAAGATACCTCAGACTTTCAGGGATGATCCTGTTCTCATCACTTTGAGCCGAAATATAGCTTTTCCCCATCTGCAGGCGCACACACGCTAACATACACTACATACACACACACACACACACACACACACACACTCTCGTCTCCTGTCTCAGATGGCCTCTAAGATGGCTAATCCACGGTGCCGTTGTCTAATCTTGTCTCATTAGTCTGATCTTACATTTACAGTAAGAAGCTTGTTTGAACAATCTCATAATGCACTTAAATGTCTTCATACACAGTCTTTAGGGGTTAAATTAAGGGTTAACTTTAAGTCTATCAGTCTGCTTAATTATTACGAGAGGGGTCAATTTGTTTGGCTTTTCCCAATTCAAACAGTCAATCATGACCACTTAACGGCCAACAGACGTTCAGAGGAATTTTTAATGATTTCTGAATTGATTTTTGGTCCAGGCTGGTTCATAGTGACGGAAGAAAATGAGCAATGATGCTCAATATTCCTGAAGGACAGATTCTGCTTTGGTTCAAAATTAGAAATCAGAATTAAATTTCAAAATTTTAAGAAGAAAAATATTTTCTATGGTTTAGATGTGACACACACAGAGTTTTACTAAAAAATCATCTGATTTTTGTTGAAGGAAAGCTCAGCAGGATGAAGTGGGTCTTTTCACAACAACTGAAAACAGATAAATTAGAGTATATATTATCTAAGTTGAAAAACAGAACTTGCAGGGTTAAATCCTGCCTAACGCTCAGTTCTCCAGAAGGACTGAACCCTTCTCACATGTCACTGATTCATTAACCAAGTTGTTCACACACACATGCACACGTCGTCGTGAGTAAAGTTTTCATTCTCACCGCAGTAGTGCGACTGACGCAGCTTCTCGGATTCTGCGCTGACCTGTTTCGGTTGCCGTCATTAGCTGATAGAAACTAATTAGGCAGAGAGAGAGAGAGAGAGAGATTGGCTTGAACGGGCTCGTTAGTGTGCAGCCAGTCGTGGTACTCAAACCTGGGGATGAGAGCACAACATATGGCTGGAACAATGCTGCGTGTGTGTGTGTGTGTGTGTGTGTGTGTGTGTGTGTGTGTGTGTGTGGGACATATGGGATAGGCAGTAATAACCGCTCCAACTGTCGGCAGATCAATACAGCGACTTCTGTGCTAATCTCTGGCCTGTGAATCTGGGCTCCTCTGTTGTGACACAGCGTGGCCTGGTGGTTAGACACGCTGACCGTCCTGTTACTAATAGATCACAGGTCGGAGCCTCTGAAGCTGTTCACAGCCTTCGTGTTCCATCAGAGTCACAGTCCATCGGGCGCAGTTGCACAAAACGCTTGAGGAAAAGTTTTTCTGTTCACTGTGTGTTCACAATGTTCACTTTAGGATTTCAGGTTTTCTCTTTATCTTAGTCTTAAGGAATCACTTAAAGTCAGTTCAACTTTAAAACGTCGTCATTGCAGTCACAAATTGATGAGAGAAAGTCAGGCAGCGGTCTTTTTCATATTACACAGTTTATGAAAGATGGTGGTGATGGGAAAGGTTCAGTGAGAGTTGTGTAACTGCTGAAGAGATGTAGATAAATGGTGATGGTGAAGGATTGCTGTGTTCTTTGGACAATGTAAAAGGAAGCTTAAGTTTGGGTATAAACATTTTAAACTTGGGTGGCAACAGAAACTGTCGTCATGGTGATCAAATGTAAACTAAAGGAACATTTCTGGGGCAGTTGGGAAAGATTGTCCTGCGACTTAAAGTTCAGAAGTTAAAGCCTGAAACATCTCTGGCTGATGGTGACACGGTCCCTGTGTCGCTGTGCTGCAGTGAAATAATTGGCTCAACAGCTGTTTCTTGTATCAGTCTCTCCAGCTGAGCTGAAGAACTAACTTTTCTTTCTGTCCGTGTCTCTCCCCCTCTTTCAGATCCAGTCCACGGTCCCCAGAACGTGAACGTGGTGGACGTCAGAGCCCGTCAGCTGACGATACAGTGGGAGACGTTTGGGTACGCGGTGACGCGCTGCCACAGCTACAACCTGACGGTACGCACAGCTGCCCGCATGTTGCTCTGTGACTGAAGACTGAGCGGTGTGAGTTATATTTTGTGGTAGTGTCGGGTAATATGGAAAAAATATCATATCACGATACTTTTCAGGCAGGATCACGATTTTATCACGATTCTTTCTTATGTTGGTTTTTAAAGCTATTTTGCAAGTTACTGAACAGAACAATCAAACTAATTTCTCTATTTAAAAAAATACAGCCCTACAAGGTAACAAGAATAACTTACCAACAGATTTTAATCAAGTGCGCAATTCTATAAAGTATGAACATTCAACAAGAATTCTGAAATAATTTAGACTTGTTTTACATTACTCCATTATTCCAAAATGAGCATTGGTTTCAAAAGGTAAAACAACAACACTATAAATAGCTTATCGGAAAAGGGTTGAATAAGGTTAAATAAAAAGGTAAACTAACTCTTGTAATAAAAAAAAACTTTATTGAAAAAAATGATATTGCAGATTAATCTCATTATTTCACTTTGCTCTGTGTTCCTACTGTAATTTGTAGTTATTTTATTAATAGGCCTTTATAGTTCATTTTTTCACTGGTGCCCATAAACCTCTCTAAAAGGAAAAAGGGGAGAAATGTGCTTTAACTCTTTAATATGAAAAAATAGAAAAACACACTGAAGCATTTTGATGCCTACGAAACCTTTTAAAACCATTGAAAACAGAGCTGATCCTCAGCCTGCAGCCCCTCAGCTGTTTACAAACCTCTCGCAGCCTATTGGCTTTCACCCTGAAGAGCCCGCCCCCCTTAGTTTGCTCTGATTGGTCGATTGTTTTTCGATGGAGAACGAGTCATACGTCTTACGCTCGGTTACGCTCGTCTTCCCCCAACTCCCCTGACGTGAAATCCATGTGAAATCTGATCCGATCTTTACAGGGAGTCCGCCATTTTTTTTTTAGCCAGAAAGCTAACAAACAATAGCAGAACCGCAAACACAGCCGCAGACCCGCGAACACAGCTACAAGATGGCACCGGAAGGCGGGAGCGAGGGAGGGAGGAGAAGTGAGGGAAGAGCCGCGGATACAAATCGCTCAGTCATCTGCTTTGGACTTCTCAGGATGATATACATTACCTGGATATTCATAACCTGGAACACTTTTATAAGGAGCCCTTTTGATTTTTGTGATCTGTGGACCGTTACGGACTAAAGGAATATAAGTAATGGAGGAATGGAGGGAGAATCAGAGTTTTACACATCCAAAGGTAGGCAGTCACCACCCCCAGCTGGTACACAGTGCTGGTAGATATTAATAAATAAGTCTTGGTTAGTGCCAAATGAACTGAATATTTGATTTATCGAGACTCTAACTGATCTAACCAGGTACAGCCTGTCTGTATTGACATTAGTTAAAGTGTTTACTCTGTCAGAAGTTTGCAATAGGCCCATACAAGGGCCGGTGGGCCTTTTAACTGACATTTTTTTCAGTGAACATGTTAAAATAATGAACTTGACCTTCTACATGGAAAAAGGTACAATAATGTCACCAGTTGTTACAGCTGTCACATTATGCAGCATCATGATGGAGAATAATTAATGTAACTGTCCACAAAATGGGGTTGTGCAATGTTTTGATATTAGATCGTGAATGATTAAAATGTCTCCACCATCATTAATATCATGAGACAGGGCACATTCTATTGTTGCAGCAACTTGTCTATCACATAAGGCTGCAGTCTTTCTACATGTATTTTATTTAAAGTAAAGATGGTAAACTTAGCCTACTGTATAAAAATAGAAATACAAAATTACAGTAAAAAGGAAAATGAACATTTCTCAAAACAGTATCTGCTAGCCTGCTGTGCTCGTGACTGTGGACAGACAGAGCAGATTAAATGATCACGTTCTACATGTTCAGATTTATGCAGGTTGAACGGGTGTATTGATAAAGTTTTGGCTCTTTACTTGCAAAGGTTTTATTGCACTTATTTACAGTAGGGTTATCAAAAATATGCGGTTATTTAAAATCTGATCCGCAGAGATCTCTTCTCAAAAAGAAATGGACCTGATTTAAATGGTAAAAACACAATAAAGCGGTTTCATGTAAAAGATCTGCACATGCAGCCGGCGGCAGGCATGGGCAAGGGAAAACCCTGCTTATATAGCACTTCTCTAGTCTTAGAGACCACGCAAAGCACTTTACAATACTGACCACATTCAACCATTCACTCACACATTCATACATCACACCCATACACTGAAGGAACAGCCATCAGAGGCGCTGGTGGACCCGGGGATCGAACCACTGACCTTCTAATTTGTGGACGACCCGCTGTGCCTCCTGAGCCACAGTGGAATAAATGTCACGTCCTTCCCTGTGTTTCCCAGGTGCAGTACCAGTACGTGTTCAACCAGCAGGAGTTTGCGGCGGAGGAGCTGATCCAGACGTCGTCACATTACACTCTGAGGGGCCTGAGGCCCTTTGTCACGGTCAGACTGAGGCTGGTGCTGGCCAACCCTGAGGGAAGCAAGGAGAGCGAGGAGATAGTTAAACAGACAGAGGAGGACGGTGAGTGAAAGATGTGTATTCAGTGTGTTTAACAGCAAATTGTGTAACGCAGCATTGCTCCAGCCTGTAGCCAGTTTATAACAGCTTCAGCTATTCCAGCAGCTCAGTCTCTGGTCAGCGTCTCCTGGGAGAAAAACCCTCCGGCTCACAGAAAATGATTCATTTTACTTATCTGACAGCTGCAGCAGCTTGTTTAGAATAAACCCAAGGAGAAATGGCCACCTACAGAGACCCAGACATCTCCATCAGAGAGCACGAGATAAGGATGTCACAGTCCAGCCCACACGGTGTGATTGACAGGTGCAGAAACAACGGAGCAGTGGGTGTTGAGCACTGGACATTAAAACAACAACAGAAATGGTCTCCAGCTGTTCATGTGTTAGGATGTTGATTTTGTATTTTGGGAAAACAGGTAAATTCATAGGTACTAAGACTGTGTCGCATGCTAAAGGAATTACAGTTGGAGAGCAGCTTTTCACATTTGTGGTTATTTATTATAACCTGAGTTAACCTGGAGGTCTGGATGTGTCCCAGAGGTCGTCTGTGCGGCAGGTCATTATGACATCATAGTTAGGTTTTGTTGCTCGGGCACATCTAGTGGTCGTAGTAATGATGAGAGGAGCGAAGGGAAAAGTCCTTGTCAGGAGGATGTTGTGGTGGATGGATGAATGTGACACAGTACAGCGTGTGTTTGATTCCCATGTGAAAGTAGCAGTTTATGTTGTAACCATGACAACAAACATCGTCTAATGATGAAGAAGTACTTATTTCAGCCCAAAACATGATCTCTTCCTAAACCTAACCAAGCCATGTCAGTTATTATAGTAACCATGTCAGCAAAGGTAGTTACACAGCCACGGTACAGTCTGCGTGTTTGTTATTATAACCATGACGATTGAGGGCGCTATTTCAGGAAACCAAATCCTGTAAGTGTTGGATGGTGGGTCCAGGTGGGCGGGGCTTGGTGACTGCTTTGTTGTGACATCACAAAGTTCCAGAAGTCCTGACGGCTGGTTTTAAGGCTCAGTTTCTGAATACAGGCTGTGTGCATTTCTCTGTGGACTGAGGCTTTGATACTTTCACAGTATTAATATAGAAGCTAGACCTGATCTATAATCACACTAGATGGATGAAACCTTCGAGAGGTGATTGAGACTAAACCAGAGCTTATTGAATTATAGTTTGGTTAATTCTGCTAACATGCCAGTAAAGCATCAGAAGCAGATGAGATGGTGGTTGCAGAATTTTGATATTTTTCTACCCTTTGGTGTTCAGAAAATTAAATAATACAAGTTTATCTGAGCCACAGTAACCAGCTAAAGTGATGAATGAGACAGGAAAGCCTTTAGAGACACACTAGATCTATAATCACACACGTTTGATCCCTGCAATATCCAAAATTGCTCTAATCAACAGAAATGTCCTGTTATTCTGCCCTTGAGCAGGACGAGCCATAGTACACACTGACGTACTCCTCAAGCTCAAACGCACCCCGGCAGCTGAGATGATTTCAAAACAACATTTTAAGCTCCCTGTTTCCTTTCCAGAGGGCTCCATGTTCTACTAATTCAGAACAGAGTGTTTGCCCCAGCCGCCGCCACTAATAATTCACTGCTGCCTCACATTTCTCTCAACAACACGCCCGCGATAAAATGGAATCGCTCGAATCCATTAGAGGCGACGCCTGATAAGCGGGATAAAAAACCTTCTAATGATCCAGAATCTCACATCTCTTTCCCACCCTCCTCAGGGCTCGCTCCTCTTCTCCTGATCTCATAACTAATATCCTCTGAATTTAGCTTCTGGGGAACATCACATCTCCGCCTGAAATTCCTACCTTTGCTCGTTGAACACACACACACACAGACACACACACACACACACACACACACACACACACACACACACACAGCCTTCAAGTTGTCTGAACCCTTTTAAAAAGAGAGAGCTAACGTTACTGGGGAGCAGAGATGGCTTTAGGGGGGGAAGGAAGCAAAAAAAAAAAAAAAGAGAAGCCTTAATTGTTTTGTTCTTAATTGTTTTTTATTTAACCATCGTTAATCTCCTGGTTGTAATTCAGTAATTAGGGAACAGAACAGCAATTGTTCACACGGAGGCTAATTGCTGTTTGTACGGTAATGGCTTTATAGAGCTGGGGCTCCTGCAAATGAAGCAGCTTCTCTCTCTCTCACACACACACACACACACACACACACACACGTATACATATATATGATTTTTTCCTTTTACTATTTAATGTTGCTGATGAAATAGAAGTATATTTTATCCACTGTTAAGGGGCAAAATGGGGAATTTACAATTAGCATATAAAATTGCATCTCTCTCATGCTTTGGACTCATTTTTCAGTAATATCAGAATGATGCTTCTCAGGTTTTAATCATGTCCTTTTTAATTGTTTTACCTACTGGAAGCTGCACGATTAACTCTCACACACAAACACACACACACACACACACACACACCAACACACACACACACATGCAGCCTGCCCAGTCACGTTAAGTCACAATCCCTGTGGCTGTCTCACTGTGACACATCCAGCGTTGTTGATTTGACACAGTCGTTATTTTAGGAAATTATACTTTTATCTTGGTTCGGTGCTGCTTAAAAAGTTTAAGATTTCCTGTGTTTACTCCACAAACTGATTTGCTTTTGTTGTGCTGTGAGGCTAATTACCTCCCAGAGCGTTTCAGAAGTTCAAATGTCTTCAGAAACATAAGTCAGGAAGCAAAAAATGGCAAATTGAGATTAAAGTTTTATTTTCAAGGATGTAAAGCTTCGTGTGGGTGCAGCCTATGAACAGACAAGGTGACTGGTTTGGACCTCTAGCTGTTGGGGGGGGGGGGGCCAAAGGCTGACAAACTTTACTTCTCAACAGTGTCTCAAAATGTGGCTCCCTCTCCCTAAAACAACTAATGGACAATTTGCAGTGATATCTCAGAAGCAGTGTTGCCAACTATTTTGATTAAAGATAATTAAAGCTCCTCCAGTGTAAAGGTCTGTGTCCATGTGTAGTGTGATTATAGATCAGCTCTAGCTTCTATATTAATACTGTGAAAGTATCAAAGCCTCAGTCCACAGAGAAATGCACACAGCCTGTATTCAGAAACTGAGCCTTAAAACCAGCCGTCAGGACTTCTGGAACTTTGTGATGTCACAACAAAGCAGTCACCAAGCCCCGGCCACCTGGCCCCACCATCCAAACCTTGCAGGATTTGGTTTCTCTGAGTGTTTTTACCTGAAATCTGCTATATTTTTACTGGATCACTCAGAAATCAGTCAGCCAATCAGAAGAGAGGCTCAGAGCCTCCTCTCTTCTGATTGGCTCACAGACCTGTTGTTACTAGAGCTCCAGAGAGAAGCCTGAGAGAGGAGATGTAAAACTACACTGAGATGGTTTTTGGTTCTTAAAAACACAAATATATCTTCTTATGGCTCAACACTTCAGATAAAACACAGAAGAAAAAAATATGGAGCTTCATTGATTGTTTGTTGATGTATTGATCAGAAGAAACGCAGGTGACACACTTGCTGTTGCCAAATAGCTGCTAATATAATTCTTAGAAGAAGAGGTGATACAGACTGTGGGTGCTGAGGTGGTGTGACGGCTCCACCGACTTCCTCTGGCACATGTTTGATAAATAAAGGCCTGGAGCTGCAGCCGCTGTGTTGAGCTGACCTGACAGCTACCTGACAAATAGGTGTTTTGTGGTTAGGTTAATAGGCTAGTGTGTACAATAAGTGGACATGACATTTGTCTCTGAGGCAAGTCTCTCTGTGTGTTTGTGTTGATGTGTGTTTGTGTTGATGTGTCTGTGTGTGTGTGTGTGTGTGTGTGTGTGTGTGTGTGTGTGTGTGTGTGTTTGTTTGTGGCTTCAAATTGTCTTGTGCCATTATGAACGGATGGACAGCTGCAGGAAAATGGAGGACGAGAAAAGAAAATAGGCACGAAGATCCACACAAAAAAACAAAACACAACACAAAGTCAGACACAAACACACCGTGTACTGCTACAACTATTACTAATCTAATCTACTATTACCAATCAGTGGAATATCATGAATACAAATGCATTAATGTTTATTGAGTCACCGATGCATTGTACCCTATAAACAAAACAGGGACCTACCACACAAACACTGCTCTTCAGTGTTAATTAATCCGGTTTTCTTGTAGTAAAGAAAAGTTAGTGGTAAGTGTTTTTTTTTCTAAAATAACACTAATAACATCCAGTGATAGGATGTTATTTCCAAAGCTGCTGATAATGGCTTAATTCACATTGTTTTTTATCTATCAGGCTGGATATCCTATCAGTGGTTAAGCACTTCTCAAAGTCAAACATCTGATATTAAATATTAAAACAAAGATCTTAAATCTCTATATTTGTGACATGTTTATATTCTTATAAACAGCCGGTGTTTTCTATCAGAGAGAAAAACTCCCCTCTCTGCGAGGACAATCACAGTCATTGAGATTTAATAATCCTTTTATCTTCAGAGAGCGGGGCCTTTTCTCAGATAACGGCACACGAAAAACAACAATCAGAGACATCAGCTTTTATTATCTGTTTCTCAACAGCTGTCACTTCTCTAAAAGGAGAATTCATCAAAGTGCAGTTAGTTGCAGGAGGGCACTTGTTTACGGGGGTTTTAATCATTTTAACCGTTTATTTGGTGAATCGAGGATCACAGGATGCTCTCAACCCACAAACCACCAAAGTAAAGTTTCAAGTGAAAGAAAAAAAATGAAAGAAATATTCAACCATTCATCGGTAACGTGGTCTTTGTTGGTGCTGCTTTGTGTTTTTATGCGTCTTTAAACTAGATCTTCAAATAAAGAGAAAAGATTTTTATCTTAATATTTCAATGATTGTCACATTTGACTTTTACAACACAGGTACGCTGTGTTTGTTGTCACCTGTTGTCGATGGCGACACGGACTGAGACTGATATCGGAATGTTAAAAGACGGATTTTGAA